TGGCGGCGCCCGTGGCGGGCGAGTCGGGGTGGCGGCGCCCAGGCGCCTCTCCAGCCCTGCACCGGGATGGAGACTGCGGGCCCACGGGCGTCCCGTGTGCTTGGCGTCAGGCCCAGAGCGGCGGCGGGAGCGGACGGGGCCGCAGCGGCTGCCCCCGAGCCGTCCGCGCTGCCCACGTGGGCTGCCGGAACGCGTGTAGCAGTACCGCTGTGCCCGGGTCACCGGGGGTGCGGGGAAATGGCCACGGTGCCGCTGCCCGGGACTGGCCCCCAGGCTCTGCCGAGCGCTGCGCTGTGACTGCTGCCGCTCCGCGCTGAACAGTTACAATTTTCAGTTTTCTACATAAAATCGAAGGGTTTTGTTTTTCGGATTGTATTTACAGTCATTGCTGCAGGTTTTGGTGCTGTCAGCTGCTTTTGCCAAACGAGACTTGCCAGTTTTCCTCGCTGCCTAATGCAAGCTTTATGTAGTCATAAATGATAAAAAGTAATTTGACCGTGATTCTTCTGACTTTATGATATAGCTGGGTTTGACAGATAGTTTTCATTCCAAGTATTGATCTTCTAATTAGGTGGGATTGAACACTTCTTTTTAGACTTAAGTTTCTTATAGTTGTTCTGGCAGCTTAGACAGATGCATGAAATACTTGCCATTTCTGAGTTACAAATGTAGGGAAATTATTTTCCAGTTTAAATTGTTACTTTTACTTAGTTTTGATTTGGCAGGGAGAAAATTCAAAATTAGTAATTCTAAACCAGGAGAGATTGGGTATCTATAGTCCCTTTCCAAAACCCACTCTCTGTTTTTTGAGAAACTGTTGCCTTCATTTTTCTTTCAAAGATAAATATTGAAGCTTTTGAGAGAGATTGAACTGGTTTCCTTCCTTATACCTAACTTTTTACAGTGATGTTACATGAACCAAGCTGCTCAGAACCACATGAGCCAGCTTGTGACAAAATGTGTCTTCCACTTTATGGGTTTTTTTGCATGAAGTTTTTGGCTAAAGTATTAAGTTTGCATGAGTAGGTAACAGACGTTCTTCAGGGCATACCATCATTGGCAAAAGAAGTGTTATAAAAGCAATAGCAATTATGAAGCTAACTGGATACTTTTGATCTTAACAGAGCACTGATTTGGTGACACTGAAGAGCGAGGTGTTAACAATATCTGCTTTCAAAGGAGAAGAAATACCCATAATACAGCAGAAAGGTAGTGCCCTTTTAGTAACTCTTAGTATTTTCTTGGAATCTTTAAGGAGGCAGGGGGTGACAGAGAGTGGCATCATGTTCTATTAGGAATGGCAAAGCAGTCTTATGATAGCATCTTGGATAAAGAATGCCCACAGATTGTTAAAATTAGGTGTTTTGTAACTACGTAGGAAAGACTGAAAAAGCTCTTGTGTAGGGGAAGCTAAAACTTTAACAACTGAGGATAGCGGCTTGGGGTCTGTCGCAGAGTGCAGTCAATATGAAAATGAAGAAAGAATGTCTTTATATGCTCCTCCAGGTTTAGAATTCATTGAGTCTGTTGTTCTGAGTGTTTTAGATATTATTTCACTTTCTTTAAAAAGAAAAAAAAATATTATTTGCTGACCAGAGTATTGGTCTTCACAGGGTAGCTCCAGATAGGAGCCCCAGGTGATGGCTGTTGCTGAAGTCACTGCCAGTACTTACTGCCTGCCTGTCAGCTGGAGGTCTGATGTGCCTGCCACCACTGGTGTTAGTCTAGGCACTCCCCAGCCCACTGCTGTCAGAACATGGTGGGTTAAGACAGATGTAATATTTATTGTGTTTAAGATGACCTGACTTTTTTTCTGCAGTAGGTTAGCGGATGCGGGTAGGTGTAGGAATAAGATGAAAACTTCCAGCAGGCCAACAGTACTGAGCAGCTGGAGGCAGACAAGGGCATCATCATTTCTGACACACAGCACACACTCAGACTGCTCTCTTAGTGAAATACCTTTAATTATTGGAGTTTTCTCACCAGTGCCTGGATTTTGTCTGTCTTCTTGAGATTGCCTTTTCAGTGATTGTAGCCAATTATGGCTGTATTTAAATCTGCAAGTTCATTTGACTATGGTCTTTACTGAATTGCCTTTTATGTACTAGCTAGCAAATGTTTGGGAGAGCTTTTCCTTATAATTACTCAGTGGGGATTTATCTTTTAGAACCTCTTCTTTTAAATTCACAACCTTATTTTTTTTTTCCCTTGAAGACTCAGCACTGACTCTGGAGGTTTTGCCCATTCCAGGCTCTATAGAAAAAGTCCTGAATACAACTCTATTGCTGGTACTTTGAATCTGACCCACTGTTCCTTTGGGGAACAATGTGCTGTCGTGACTGAGGAGTTTTTTAGATTTACAATAGATTACTGGAATTCTTTGAAGTAAAGCTTACATACAAAGAATGAATAGATATCTTTTAAATTTTTTTTCCACAAGCTTACTGAAACAAACAATGGACATGAAAACATCCTCTTATGGAATTTAATACTGCTCTGTGAATTTGTTTGGTTCTTTAGAAGGACTTTTTTTCTCTGTAGAGGTATCATTGTACATATATCTACTTAGCCTGCAGACGAGTTTCACAAATTTGTACTGAGTGGAATTCTCAGATTACAATTTAATGGGTTTAAATTTGTTACTTTTCATGGTTATTTTCTAGCATTTTATTTGCTGTGTGGACTTTAAGAACTTACTGTTTAAGTACTCAGAGCATTCCTTACACTGTTCTCATAATGTGACTGAGTTTTATTGGAAAAAGATTTGCTGTTATATCATCTTTACCTTTCTGCTCAGCTCATTATCAGTTATTTATTAGTACACCGGTTTTGTTAATGATTTTTGTTTTATGCCTGAGTGTTTCTATGAATCAGACTGGGACCAAAAGTTATTTACCTCCAGCTACAGACCCATTCTGTTAAAAAAAGTGCCCAGGGTGCAGTTTCACAGCCTGTTCACATTAGATCCCTGTTGCTGGAATGGGGAGCACTCCTCTCTGCTTCCGGCCCCATCTTTCCAAGCCAAGCAGCAGGTCAGCTGGCTGCACAGTGAGCCAGGTAAAGAAGCACATCCAGCTGATAGAGAAGTAGAGATAAGAAATGCTTTTCATTGCTTCAGCTGGCTCACTGATACGAGTGCTGTCACAAGTAGTAGTGATAGGACACAGGGCAGTGGCTTTAAACTGAAAGAAGGTAAGTTTAGATTAGCTTCTAGGAAGAAATTTTTTACAGCAAGGATGCTGAGACATGAAAGCAGGTTGTCCAGGGAGGCTGTGGATGCCCGATCCCATGATGTGTAAGGCCAGACAAATGTTTTGGGCAAACTGATCTTGTGAAAGGTGATGCTGCCCATGGCAGGTCACTGAACTAGATAAACTACAAGGTGTCTCAAAACCCAAATGCTTTTATGAGTATATAAGAAATGATGTAGGACTGGAGTGGAGAATCTAGAAGTAGGAGAAGGGCTGAAAGTGTGTCGTACAGACTACAGCAGATCATGGGTCTGCATCCTGAGTCACCTTGTACTATGACTGTGGTGAAAGCTTCTCAACCACTTTTCTGAGCAATCTTTCTAGTGAGTTATTTAGTAGTGATACTGCTGGTGAGGCTGGTGGCCTGCTCTGTAGTCTAGTCAAGTCCTCACTGCTTTTAATCCTGTTACACTCTCCTGAAGAGTATTGACCTCCATCTGGATGGAATGTCTCTGGTACTGCAGTTTGTTGAGTGTGTATCCAAAGAGGAAAGATAAACCATGTAAGATTATATTGGGCTAATTTTAGGTGTTTCTGCTATTATGGTTTCTATATTCTTCCAGGTTCTGTTGGCCAACAGAAATTCAGGAGACCAATCTGTGTAAAGCTTGCTATACAGACATTTGACTGTTATAGGTATTGATTTTAAATACATAGGTGAAATAAGTATTGTCTTAGCAAAAACACTATTAGCTGAATCAATATATTTGGTATGGTGGTTAATTTAAGAAACTCTTCTGTCAGCAGGCAGTTTATTCTGTGTCATGGTTTAACCCTAGTTGACTGCTAAGTCCCATACAGCCTGTTAGTCACTCCCTTCCCTTTTCCCTCTGCCCAGTGGAATGGGGAGTGAATTAAGAAAAAAAGGTAAAACTTGTGCATTGAGATAAAAGCAGTATAATAACTGAAATAAAATAAAATACTGCTAACGATAATAGTTGTAATGAAGTGGAGAGAGAAAGGGAAATAAAACTCGAGACAGACAAGTAATGTGCAGTACAGTTGCTTACCACCTGCTGACTGATACCTAGCCCATCACTGATGAGCCACCATCTCCACTTCTGGGTAACTTGCCCAATTTATATACTGGACATGATCTTCTGTCACTTTGGCAAGTTCATGTCACCTGTCCTGGCTGTGCTCCCTCTCAACTTTTTGTGCAGCTCCTCACTAGCAGAGAATGAGACACAGAAAACTCCTGGACTTGGGGTAAGCACTACTTAACAATAGCCAAACCATCCACCGACATTATTGTCATCCTAATTCCAAAACACAGCACCATACCTCTCATCCTGAATCCAAAACTCAGCTACACTAACCCAGCCAAAACCAGGACACTCAGGCAGGCAAATGAAAGAGTTTTCTTTATTGCATGTCTAGAAAGAGAGATGATGATTCAAATAGGAATTAGTTGTACATGTGTCAATGGTACTGCAAGTTAGCCAGTTTTAGTGTTGACTGGAAGTGGGTTCTGAAGCACCAGTGATGTTAGGGCTTATATTTTTTGACGCTTGTGCGTTTAAAGTCGGGCCCATCGCACTATATTTTCCCAGTTTCTGCTTTTTTTAGTGTTGATAATTATCAGTTCGTAATAAGGAATTTTACTATAAATTTGAAGTCAAAGTTTAGGCTAATTTTCTTTTTCTTTTGAAAGGGATATGATGAAAATGTTTTTGATTGTATTGAAATATTCTTGATTGCTCTTAAGTACCCCTAAGCAACTCCAAGATGTAGGTAAAAAGTATGAAGTTTAATAGGAAGATAGCTTTGGAAATTGTGAACTATTTCCCAAGATAGCTAGTCTGGCTTTGTCTGAATTACAAGCTCCATAAGGTTGCCATTTTCCATTTGTGGTATGTCTTTTAAGGTACTTAATTTGAATTCTAGGGACCTTTCAGCAGCAATATACATGTTCTGCTAACCCATAGAGCTTTCTTTGCTGACTGTAGACACAGCTTTATGCAGCGTCTATACTGAAAGCTCCTGGTGGGACATGGCAAAAAGTGGGCACTCTGGTTTCTTGTCATGCCTTGACTGAGGCATATTTTCTCTTAGGAGTAGGCATAGTGGACCCCGCATTGCTCTGTTTGAGGTGTGTGAAGAGAGGTAGTTTATTTTACTTTGGAGCTGTTTTATACTTCTGTGTCTTGGTTTTTGGAGTAATAACTGCTTGTTTGCAAATATGGACAAAGTAATTCCGATTGATCATGTTGTCAGAGTGCCAGGTACTCTCCAGCATGTCTTCAATGCTGTGTTGAAAACCAAACCTAACAAATAATGTAGTGCTTACAATTTCTTTTGAAAGGCTTATAAAGCCTTGAAATGCACGTTTGGGTGGCTGTCATGTTTTGGCATACAATACATGCAAATCTAAGTCTCCTTGTGTAACTTAAGAAGATGGTAAACTAGCTTTGCATCCTTCCTTCTTTTTTTAGGCACAATGTAGCAAATCTTGAAAACATCTTGCTTTTTTTCCTAACAAATGGGCATCTCATTCCTCTTGCAGAATGTGTGTCACAAACCCACCTCAAGAGGGAAAATGTTAAGTGGGCTAGATTTGAATAAATACAGCACCACAGTCAAAAGGAAAACGGAAAGTATTTCAAAGAAAAAATATGTTTACAGGAAGCTTTGGCAGTGAAAGAGCCATTGTATAAAATCATTATTAAAATTTGGTGAAATGAGAGATAAGTACATGTGGTCATGTACACAGTCTGTATGTCGTGAATAATTATCATTGTACTGAAACAGTATCTCCCCACTGAAGCATACGATTCAGTCTTGTGAAATAAAGTCTGAATGAAAAGAGAATTCTGTATCTGTATGTTGGTATCTCCCATGCTGCAGGAGTGTGTTAACATAGCCTACCTGCAAGCCTAGGAGGGAGATTTCATAACAAGCATAGCCATCAAAGCTACTGTTAATGCAAACTTGCATTTGATACATGCTAATCAATAA